CGTGTTCTTTGTCAAGATAAATGATCCAATGAACCAATAAAGATTATTATTATTATTATTAGAAGAAGATCTTTGCATACATTTTGAACAGCAAAGGTGACTGGACCCTATAGGAAAATAGAATCCCATTACACGACAAAAAGGTGGCAACTAGACTGACTTTGTGTTAATCTAGCAGTAACATATGTCTATTTCCCCAATACGTATAAACAGAACGTATAACCAGAACTCTAAAGGAAGAAAGTGCCAAGCCGTATTTCAATTATTGTTCAATACAAATACCACTGTTTAGGTCTTCACATACTACTATCACTCAGTTTGATAGGGGTGCCTTTATGCATTAATAACTTGAGAAATCGCCATTATTTGTCGCGTTCCTCAAATGAAAAAAAAAAGGTGTCAAGTAGGCTGATCGTGCTCTTCCTACGCAACGCTGTCATCAGTGTATAAAGGATTGTTTTCAGCAGAAACTAGACCTTTATATGAATTCTATGAACTACCGGTAGTGTATCTGGAAAGGTCGCCTTTCCTCGATACTTAACCCCATCAGACGTGGCAGAGCGGTCAAAGCACAGGAAAAACCAAGGTCGGCAGTAGCAGCCGTGGCTGGTTGGTACGCGATCCGTCTGCTGAGAATATTTTTAAGCTTTAGGGTGGAGAAACCTATGATGTGTGAAATATGTCTAATAGGTGCATGGGATTACTAAGGCTGGGAGCGCGTAAATGTACTAACGTCAAAAAATTGAGATAGTAGTAGCATTGTGTGAAAGTTCTATCGAAATACGAGCGGTACTTCTCAAGCTACAGGCGGTTAGAAGATCTGCGGGTAGACCGACAGACAGACTGTCGGAAATTAGTGAGCTGGCTTTGCGTAGTGTACATGTCATATAACATCCAAAAAAACAATATCCTATTTTCGAAAATCGATTTCATACAGTTATCTGTTGTGGATGGATGACCCCCTCCCTCCCCCTGAGATAAATTCCTGCACAACTATGTGTGCTGGCTTGGATAACAATCGGCTGTCCACATCTAGTCGAGCAGCGGAGGCCGACTGCTTCATACATGCATCGTCAGGACCGCAAAGCTTATGATCGACATGCAAGGGTTGGAAGTATTTCTCCATAAGTTTCGAGGATAAATGTGCAAGGAAATCTATGATGAGTGAAATATGTCTAACAGGTAGGTAGAATTACCTCGGCTAGAGGCGCATAAGTACATATACCAACGTCAGAAAATTAAGATATACCCTCTCACACCACATCACAACCCCTACCACTCAATTTCTTACCGGTGAGGGGTTTTTCAAAATTAATCAGGATCCTCTGAAATGTGAAAAAGCGAAGTTCGAACGATTTTAATTTTTACACTTTTTGTGCCGCTAGCTCCACCGACACTGGATCAATTTTCAAAAACTTGAAAGCATTTTCGCCCTTGTATGAGAAATCTTTTTTTTTTTTTTTTAAAGAGGGGGGAATGCATTTACGCACCATACCATAGCACGAGCTACGGCGTGTGTGGGGCTCCAGGATCTTGAGGAGATCACCTAATACCCACTAAACCCTAAACCTCCGCGTGGCGCGACTCATCAGCGTCTCGGTAGGCCATGTGTTGTGCGTGACCTGCGGTCTGCTACAACGTCTCCTCATGTGTTTCAGTCTCTGGGAACGCCGGGTTGGTTCCCTTTACCTCCCACATTCTATCGATGATCGCATAACGACATGGGTCCGCTAGTTTCTCTTGAAACTCTTGTTTTCGAATGATCAAGAGTTTCAAGTCCTCTTACCAATATGTTGTTCCTGGTCCTGGTCCTGAAGGGTCCTGGTCCTGGTGGGTCCTGGTCGTGGCGGGTCCTGGTCCTGGTTGGTCCTGGTCCCGGTGGGTCCTGGTCCCGGTGGTTCCTGGTCCTCTGCATCCACGCCGTGGGGTGGGGGGGGGGAGCAGCCGCAAGTTCTCCTAGTCTCCTAGTCAAGGTTCCAGTTAGCGGGTGCCAACTGGGACCTTGGTCTGGGGTACCTGGTTCTGCGGTTGCGAGGCCTCTCGTCCGGATCGTAGTCCATGAGGAATCGTAGCTGCTCGTTCGGGTGGTCCTGAGCTTTCTCGAAGGTCTTCTCCGCTTTTTTCCTCATGTACTCGTGGATGGTATCCCAATGCAGGTCTCTACGCAAGGTTGAGTTCCTTACGTAGGAAGGTGCATTGGTGGCGATCCGGAGTAGCTTCATCTCTAGAGCAGCAAGTCGCTTGCGGTGGCTGGGGGCAGCGTACCCCCAGACCGCGGAGGCGTAAGCGAGCTGAGGTCTGGCGATGGCCTTGGTCGCTAGCGGCATCTGGCTGTGTCTACCCAGTAATGGATAGAGTTGAGCCATGGCTGCTCTGGTTTTTGCGATGACAGCTTCTATGTGCGCTTTCCAGGTGAGGGACCTGTCAAAAACGATCCCCAGATATTTGTCATTGTCGCTCCACTGGATATCTTCATCGAAGATGTATGCTTCGAGAGGTCTTGCAATCCTTCTTCGTTGAATGAAGATTGCCTGCGTCTTCTGGACGTTGATGCGGATTTTCCATTTCACGCACCAGTCCTGAATTTGGTCCAGTTCATCCTGTAGTCTCCTACGGATGATCTCGGGTCGTCTATGCTTGGCGGCTATAGCAGTGTCGTCTGCATATAGGGCCAGCATTGTGTCAGCTGTCTTCGGCACATCGTAAGTATAGATGTTGTAGGGCAGGGGGGCTAAGGCTGACCCCTGGGGCACGCCTGCTTCCAGCTGTCGTCTTGTTGAATGGCATGTACCAATCTTCACCGTAAACCATCTTTGTGTTAGATAGCTCTGGATTAGTTGACACATGTTCGCATCGATTCCGGCGGCTTCCATTTTGGCGATGAGTCCATCGTGCCAAACTCGGTCGAAGGCTCGTTCCACGTCCAGCAGGACGAGACCGGTTGCCTCCTGGAGATTGAAGCCGCTGGTGATGTTTTCTGTCAGTCGTAGCGCTTGGAGTTCCGTGTTGTGCGAGGATCTGAAGCCGAATTGCTCTGGGGGGAGAAGTTGTAGTTCTTCTGCCTGCTTCTCTAGTCGAACGGCGATAGCCTTTTCGGCTACTTTGCCCATCGAGGAAACCAGGCTGATGGGCCGGTAGTTCTGGGGCAACTTCCGGTCCTTGCCTGGCTTGGTGAGCATTATAACCTGGGCTTCCCGCCACCGCCGCGGGAAGTGGTTAAGTCTCAGGGTGGCATTGGCGATGTTGGTGAGCGCAGCAATGCCTTTGGTGGGAAGGTTCTTCAGCATCCTGTTGTTGATGCCGTCCCTTCCCGGCGCCTTTCTGACCTTCAACCTGCGGATGATCAGACGGATTTCCTCTGGACTGGAGGGGTGATCCGTCTCCTGGCCAGGTGGTCGACTCCTCATGTTTTCTGCTGCGACTTCCACGGCCTCCTCGTGGTTGTCGTCCTCGTCTTCATGGTAATTGAGTCTGCATTCGGATTCTAGCGAATCGGCGAATGCTTCGGCTTTTTCTTCACTGGAGTAGGCCAAGCCGCGTTGGCCGTGAAGAGTGGGGATCGTGGTGCGCTGACGACGAAATTTTCGCTAGTTCTGCACAGGCTGCATTCCATCTGCTGTTTTGGAGTTCCGCGAGTGCGTTCTTCAGAGCTAACGATGCTCTGTTTCGCGCAACTCTCGACTCCTCTGTCAACAGCTGGAGATGTTCTCGCTTGAGTCTTATGTTCTCCCTGATCAGGTGCCTAATATGGTGCGGTGCTGGACCATTTAGGTGTCTAGGAACTGCCGTAGTCTCGGAGCGGGTGCTGTCCTCGTGCGCTCGTAGGACAGCATTCTCCAGCTCCTCTACCGCGTTGTCCAGTTCCTCCGCTGATCGGATGGTTGGAATTTGAGTGATGTTCCTTTGGACGTTGGATTTGTACAGGTTCCAGTTCGTCCGTTTGGTGCTCAAGCTATCTCGAGTTCTAGACCCTGTGCCAAGTGTTAGTAGAATCGGATTGTGGTCCGACGATCCTTCCACCAGGGTCTCTATCTCGAACTCCTCTCTGATGTTGCGGAGGATGGCTATGTCCAGTACCGCAGGTCGCCCAAGGCCGAATGGAATGTAGGTTGGTTGCTCCGGACCGACGATGACCCCCGCCAGGGCATCGACGTGTTCCTGGAGCTGCCTTGCATTCCTGTCTTCGACGTTGTTGTTCCATGCCGGAGACTTGCAGTTTAGATCTCCGATGACTATGCGTGCTCCTGAGCCTCTCAGGAGGTCAGCGATGTCATCTTCGTCTAGGGCCTCCCCTGGTGGCACATATAGGGAGGTGATTCTGTAGGGACGGTGGTTGTGATGGACCTGGACCGTGATTCCGTCCCCATTTATGTCTGCGGCATCGTCGAGGACATGACTCGTCAAGGTACGTTTGACGAGTAATGCGACTCCTCCACCTCTGCCCCTTCTGTCGTAGCGGTACGTCTCGTACCGCGGGAACGTCAGACTATGGGCAGCATCCAACTTCGTTTCTTGGATGGCCATCACCTCTGGTTGGTACTGGTCTAGTATCTCCTGGATTTCTGGTTTCCGTGCCCTGAATCCGTTGATGTTCCAGGAGATAATGCGTAGAGATTCTACGTTTTGCCCTGTAGACATTTCGGGTCTAGTGCTTGTCTTGCATCTTGGCCTCGAGTGCATCCAGGCGGGTTATGATGGCTTGCATCATTGCTAGCAGTCTGTCATCGCCGTGTTGCTTCTGCGCAGTAGTTCCAGTAGCAGTGGCGGCTGCTGGGGCAGAAGTCGACATAGGTTTCTTCACTTTTTGAGCGTAAGAAGTCCTATTTGTGGTGGGGACTGCTTTGAGGGCAGAAGCAGCTTTCTTCGGGGCCTTACTACATCCCTTGTAGTTGGCGGGGTGGCCTTCTCCACAGAGGCAACACTTGGCGTTTCGTTGCCCTGTTGGCGGCGCTGGCAGACTGCAGCTGGTGCTGTTGTGGTCCTCTCCACACTTAACGCACCGTTCAGCGAGACGGCAGTTCCGCTGTGTGTGCCCGTACCGCTGGCAGCGGTAACATTGGCTGGGCTCGGAAGACTTTTTCTTCCTCTCGAAGCTGACCGTGAGCATGGCCAGCCTCTGGATCTCTGCAAGCTTTTCCGGCATCTTCGTCTTGACGAGGAAGAGCGGAAGTGGCTTCTTGGTGGTCCTTGAGGTCATCTGCTGAACCTCGGCGTCTGCGATGCCTTGGGTCACTAGATCCTCTTTGATGTCATTGACTGACATCTCCCTGGGAAGCCCACGAATGACCCTCTGGTCCATCCTGTCCTCCTTCAGTTGATAGGTGAAGAAGGGCCGCTTGATGGATTCCAGCAGTGCGACTAGCTGACGGTAGTCAGCTGGTGTATTTGTGAATACCTTCACACTGGTACCCGCCGTCCTCGCCTTGGAGAATTGAATCCCCTTGCTGTTCATCATCCTGCTCAAGGATGACCAATCAGCGGTGCCCTCGATATTGATTGGCGGAACTCCTGTTCCTGCCATGGGGGCCTCGGTGGTCCTGGTTGCTCTAGGAGTCTTCTTGGTGGCGGCAGCTGACATCTTTGGCTGCCTTGGTGACTCATCTTCGGAGGAGGAAACTCGCACCCGCTTCCTCCGTCTGGTGGCGACACTGAAATCGTTGTCGTCCGTCCTCTTCTCGGCTTCTTTTTCTATTCCTTCGGTCCGTTGAGTGCCCTCTTCTTGGGCGTCCATCTCATCCGACGTAGCCTGGTGGTCCTCTTCCTCCTCTTCTCCTGTCTTCTTTGCGGCCTTCTTCTTGGCCCTGCGGAGCTTCCCGCTCAGGTCCTCGATCTCCTGTCTGGCCTGCAAGAAGGCTTCTTGCAGGTTTCGCATCTGCTCTTCCAGCATGGCGAAAGCATCCTTCTTTTCTTTCAGCTGGTTAACCAGCTTCTCAATTTTTGCCATCATAGATGGCAAACAAGCAATCTATCGCAATGAAAATTGCAATAAGATTGCTCAATATGTCCGGGTGGGTCGCAGTCGTGCAAGTATACACTCGCAACGGCTGCTAGCTCGGAACTGGGGATGATGAGAAATCCGACCGGTGCTTCGCAATTTATAGCGGGGTCAAGAATTAGCGAACAGGACGGCAGACAGACAGACCGTTGGAAATGAGTGACGTGGTTTTTCCTGACGTACGTGTCATGTACCATAGTTCCTTTTTCATTACAATACTTTCTTTGCCAGTTGCCGACGAAGTAAAAAACTGTATATCATGAATGAGTATATTTATTAGAGCTTCATTGGTCTGGTTGGCAGAGAATTGTCCTTATCCCGTAACCGGTGGGGTGCCACTTTTGTCACGTTGAGTGTGATGTGGAGTCTCTCAGACTCCCGAGTATTTTTTTAGAATACGAATTAGTACCTGTTTTATTTCTATTTTATGGTATAGTCTGGAGTCTGTTTATAGTATGTATACTAAGTGACATATAAATCTGAACACCCAGTTTAAATTTTATTAACTCTTGCATAAATTTTTTGAGTAATCGATCGCTGCAGTTTTACGCACGACCATGTATACTAGCTATTCATTTAAATTTTTGACACCAAATTTTCTAACCGAAGAGCTAGTTTTCGATTCTGGTATGCAAGTAACTTTGTGCGTGATTTTCTTGCCTATTTTGACTGCACCATACATAATGTTATACGTGATGTGTAAGCACGTCACAAAACGGTATTCGTTATTTTTAATGATGTAACGTTAGTTTTTTCCTGCTGACAACGCCGCACGTCGAGCAAATTGCTATGTGATTCATTAAAATTGTTCTAATTTGGAGTAAGCTGGGTGTACGATGAGTTCACCTCATTAGTTAAACGTGTACAGAACGTACGCGACAGAGTTAGTTTGTGTAAGAATGCTGAGTCATGAAATTAACAACCACCTCGAAAGTTACATCTGAAGTTGTTCTACTTACAAAATCAATTTATTCTATTTTAGGGTAAATGAGTAATTGGTAGAGCGCATTTAAAGCTTCGAGATACAATATTTTATACATATAGCAACGGGTCTCCGCGTTAAGAATCTTTTAGCTTGAAGAATAAGTTACGCTCATAAGACAAAATCAATCATGATTTTTGGAACAGCCTCAAGCATTTATTGAATAATCGGCTTCAGACAAGACGGAATCGTCGCATTTCTGGGAGTTTTTCAATGTTTTTCATAACCACATGTGTCTGCCCCTTAACATGAATCCTGAGATTGCTCGTCGTTGGCACATTATGACGTTGTTTAAACATTTTTTTTAACAAATTACAAAAGATTGTTTTTTACGTTCCGGTTGCCACGGTTTTTTCGAATCATTTTGAACAAAAATGCCCCTTTCCTCTTTTTTGGACATAATCGTATGCTTACCTCGAGCGTATTAATTTTTTACCAAATTTTTAAGGATTTCTAGGTTTTTTCGGACCTTGAACCGCTTATAACTCGAAAACGGCTAACTTTAATTAACAGTAACTAAGAACTTTTCAAACCAAACTGATAAAAGAACCTGAAAGGCCCTTGTCTGGAGTGAAGGAACCAATTGTTTGTAGTTGTTTGAAATCCAACAAACGTATTATGAAAAAAAAAATCGAGCTAGAAGTTGCCTATTTTATTGATTAATTTCTGTATCCTTTAAGTTTCTGTTAGTTTTGGATTTTCAAGATGACATATTTTCGACTAACAGATAAATCTACAACTATTTTGAGTGGAACCGACAAAGCACTTTATATGAGAATACCACTTCGGACATTTTATGTGAAAGAAATTGGATATATATAGACTGAAACTGGTCAATGAAGATAGAACTTTCGTTTGGCTACAATTAACACTGCAGCACTGATGCATACTTTTGCAAAACCTCAACGAAATCCAACATTTTTGTCACCATGATGCCATCGCTACCTACTGACTAGAGCCAATTGAAATGTCAAAAGGATCACACTAAATTTTTGTATAGCATTCGGTGTTAAACGGTGATATACTCGTACTTTAAAGTTCTCATCCCAGTTCATTTCTTGAACGAGTCAAATTGGTACCATGGAATTCGGGATAATGAACCTGGTGCATGTAAACTAGAGCTGAGTCGAGTCCGTTCGACTTGTTCAAAAGGAACGATACTCGAAGGAATCGATTCCAATAATCTCGAAGCAATCTCTTACGGTGGTTTTGATTTCGATTCCAAGACATCAGCCCGATTGTGGTGATCTCGATTCCGATTTAGAAACTGGGATCTTTTCATTACCAGCGATTGGCCATATTTGAACGAATTGTTTGAAAGTGACGTCTCCGGACAGATCTGGATATAGTCGCTCTGGCCAAAAAATATGTATTTTGTATACGGAAATCCTACAATTGTTGGGACAAATTTTTTTCGTAGTAACCAAAAAATTTACTATTTTAAAAATTGTAATAACAAATTATCTATTTCATATCCTATCTACCGCAATCCGGATCCTTGTACAAACCATTTTAGTTCCAGTAAACAAATAATAACGTGCAAAGTAAGAATTGTGGTGTATAGTTTGGAAGAGAGGAAAAGTAGTGTTAAACAAAGTTGAACGGTAAGTGAATAAAGTTTAGCGATATCGAAAGTAGCGAGTAAATTGTACGTAAATTGCTGTAAAACCGAAAGACGACTCACAAAAGGTTTCAAAATCTAGGCTTAACCCACTGATTGCTACAAAAAAATCGATGACAGATTCCTATCAACATCAAAACCATATGAGGAGTTTCATTGAAAATGGCCAAGTATACACAATTTCCAGTAAGACAGCAGAAACTGTATAAAAGTGTCAAAAATCCCGAATCGATATCACTTGATTGGAAATATTTAAACAATACTGATGCTCTTTCATCTCAAGTTTCTAAATAAAAGCGTGCTATATCCATTTTTCGTCGTGCTGTCAAAATGTAATACCCATGGATTTGAAAATGAGATTCATTATCGATTAAATATTTTCAATCCGCAAAATTGTAAATGAAAGCTTGTTTTTAAAAACTTATTGTTTATTTTATTTATTTTTTACTTTTTAACGATATGATATCAAGTAACTAGTTTGTTAATTTCTATATAACTTTCATGTTTTATTTACCAAACTCTATAAAATTTCTTACTTTATTTGTCATAAAATTTCGATGGATGTAATTGTACAATGATGATTCGATTTTTTGCGGGAATCGCCATATAGAATTTTAATGACGCTATTTGCTTATCGTGTTTCTCTCTTAAAACACTTCCATTTGATACCTTTACCGTAGTGATAACTGTAACAAATATACTAAGTGACATATAAATCCGAACACCCAGTTTAAATGGTTTCATTTTAATAAAAGTTGGTGAATGTATTTATCTTACTGTAAATAACAAGTGAACAAATTTTCAGCCTTATCAGTTGGACATTCCGGTTTTTATACTGCTTTTTTTTTAATTCACTAACGCTCTAAAAATGAATATTTCAGCCGCAGTAAAGAATCAACGTTGGCGGATTTTGGTTCTTGACATCCTTTACGATCGGTTACGATGCCTTGAGTACGGAGACCTGTACGATTTCGTCAACTGAGTGAGTTTGATAGGGGCCGTATAGTGGGACTTCGGGAAGCTGGACTTTCTTTTCGGGCAATTGCAGTTAGAGTGCAAAGAAGTGTAGACACTGTGGTTAGGTGTTGTCAGGCATGGCTTCGAGACGGCCGTACGCAAAGAGCAAGGGGCACTGGACGCCGCCGTAGAACAACAGACCGTGAAGATCGCCGCCTAAGATTATTGGCCTTAAGGGACCGTTTCTCCACTACCAGGTCCATTGCAAATGAATGGTTTGCAGAACACGGAAGACCTATTGGCGTGCGAAGTGTTTACCGACGAATCAGAAGTTTTGGCTTGTTTTCATACCGGCCACACTGGGTCCTCCCTTTAACTCGAGAACACCGACGTAATCGCCTTGAGTGGTGCAGACAACGGTCACTCTGGGATCAGGAATGGAACAGTATTGTCTCGATTTTGTTTAGGCAAGCACGATGGTCGTGCCAGGGTTAGAAGGCGACGTGGTGAAAGGAGGAATCCACAGTTTTCTGTTGAAAGACATGTTCATCACACTGTTGGAGTTATGGTTTGGGGTGCTATAGCTTATGGTTCCAAGTCACCTTTAATCTTCATCAGAGGTAACATGAACGCGCAGCGTTATATCCACGAAGTTCTAGAACCCCATCTTTTACCCTATCTTGACACCCTGGCAGATCCAACTTTCCAACAAGATAATGCCCGACCACATGTTGCAAGAGTCACAATAGACTTCTTTCAACATAATGATGTCACATTGTTACCATGGTCACCAAGATCTCCCGACTTATCCCCAATTGAGCACGTGTGGGATATGATGGGTAGGAGATTGCTCAATTTGCAACGTCCTCCTCAGGCTCTAGAAACACTTCGAGAGGAGTTGGAGGTTGCCTGGAATGAGATACCACAGGAAGACATTGACCACCTGATCAGAAGCATGCCTAGGCG